GTGTGTGTGTGCGTGTGTGTGTGTGTGTGTGTTCGTATGCGTCATGCTTGTGAATATGCATAAGGGTGCTCTTAAAGCATGTGTGTGTGTGAGTGCATGCTCTAGTGAGTGTTTTCAGACTATTGACAGCTGTTGCTCAGTGAATCAAACGTCAAGCAGTGATAAAAGCTAATAAACAAGCAATGGAGAAAACAGTGTATCAGGTTGGAGAACACAACACATCGGTAAGTAGCTGTCTGTCCATCTGATCCCCTGTAGCTTCCTCAGACACTATTTCAAGAAAACCTGGATCCTCTTAATGCACGTCTGGGGCGCGTTCCACGTCTCACATCCATACAACACGGCTGACTTCACATTTGAGTTGAAAAACCCGTAAAACCTTACTAAAAATAGTATAGATTATAAAGCGCATAGAGCTTGCTCTTGAGCGGGGATTTTCGCTATACAAATGCTATCTATTAATCTTGCCGATCTGATTCTCTTTCGTTGTCTTCAGCAGCTTCTCGAAGCGACCGACGTAAGGCGTTAGGAAGATGAACGTGGAGGATTTGGTCTCCGATCTGTCGACCTGTGGCAGGTTCCAAGTCCTGCTGACAGCCATCTGCTACCTCGTCAAGACCTCGGCTGTCTGGGCGAACATGATGATGGCCTTTGGGAGCTACGACCCAGGCTGGACATGCACAGGTGGAACATTGTGTTAATAATTTGAATCCTTTGCTTAACTCTCTACGTATGTCGTGTTTTACCATCGTATCAATACTACGTGGGGAACTCTGTGCCACCACTTAACCCTATCCGTACGTCGTGTTTTACTATCATATCCATACGACGTGGGGAACTCTGTGTCACCACTTAACCATATCCGTACGTCGTGTTTTACTATCATATCCATACGACGTGGGGAACTCTGTGCCACCACTTAACTCTATCCGTACGTCGTGTTTTACTATCTATCATATCCATACGGCGTGGGCAATTCTGAACCACCACTTTCCAAAGAGAAAATTTACTCGTTAATCCGATCCGTACGCTTTGCATAGCAGTCTTAAAAGGCAAAAAAATGATTTTATGAGAAATACTGAAATTTTCAGAGGCCTTTGCACTAGAGGTATTCTAAAATGTGACGAATACAACCCTGGGGGTACAAAATGACCCCGGGGCGTACGGATAGGGTTAAGAGATACGTGTGCGTTTACAGCAGAGTCAGTTTTTAAACCTCTTCATCGCTGAGACTGCACCATGTATATCTGTGCAAAAATGTCCATTCAATAGAGCCATAATAACAATAATAATAATAATAATAATAATAATAATAATAATAATAATAATAATAATAATTATTATTATTATTATTATTATTATTATGATTATTATAATAAAAACTGGGATTTATATAGCCCTGAACCCCGATTTAAGTACGCAGGCTCTGTGCGTTTTACAATACAATACGACAGTAACATAAAACATTCTGTTTTGACCAAAAGAAAATCTCTCTAAATATTCATATTTTCATCATCATCCAGTGCCAGATCTGCGACAGACATCGGCGATCATGGTTCTCCATTCATTCCTTTGCTCGGATGCTCTAAAAAAAGCTACGTTTCCCTGATCTTTCCCTGTTACCTATTTGCT